TTATTACGGTTTCATTATCAAGAAGATCATTAATCGACCGTCCTACTCCTACAAACCTTCCAAGATCCGGTTTTCGACTAAATCTACGACACGTGGATTCGGGTAAAAACCTCACAAAGATCCAAAAGATCCAAAGAGGGATTAACCGTGGTTCCCATAGGTTAAACCGGTTAGGAGCTGTAGCTGTTTTGGCTGCAGCATCTGGTCCTGGTGATACTAACAACATTAAAGCACCTACTCACAGTGGAAGTGGTGAGTTTCTTATGGATTTATCTATTGGAAACCCTCCGGTTAAATACTCGGCTATAGTTGATACCGGAAGTGACCTAATATGGACTCAATGCAAGCCTTGTACCGAATGTTTCGATCAACCAACGCCGATTTTCGACCCAACCAAGTCGTCTTCTTACTCGAAAGTTGGATGCTCCTCTGGTCTTTGCGACGCTTTACCTAAATCAAGATGCAACAAAGACAAAGCTGCTTGTGAGTATTTGTATACTTATGGTGATTACTCATCCACAAGAGGAATATTGTCCAAGGAAACGTTCACTTTCGAAGACGAAAACTCGGTTTCGGATATCGGGTTTGGGTGTGGGGATGAGAACGAAGGAGATGGGTTTTCACAAGGCTCGGGTCTTGTAGGTCTTGGTCGTGGACCACTCTCGCTCGTTTCTCAACTCAAAGAGACTAAATTCTCTTATTGCTTGACCTCTATTGAGGATAACGAAGCATCTAGCTCGCTTTTTATCGGATCTTTAGCCTCGAATATTGTCAACAAAACCGGTGCAAATTTAGACGGTGAAGTCACCAAAACGATGTCGTTGCTACGAAATCCGAATCAGCCTTCGTTCTATTACCTTGAGTTACAAGACATCACCGTTGGATCAAAACGCCTTTCTCTTGAAAAGTCTACTTTCGAACTAACCGAAGATGGAACCGGAGGTATGATCATAGACTCGGGAACAACAATCACATATCTCGAGGAGACCGCGTTTACGGCCTTGAAGGAAGAGTTTACTTCACGGATGAGTTTGCCAGTCGATGATTCGGGATCGACTGGACTTGACTTGTGCTTCAAGTTACCCGATGTCGCGAAGAAAATCGCTGTTCCTAAGCTGATTTTTCATTTCAAAGGCGCGAATTTGGAGCTTCCCGGAGAGAATTACATGGTGGCGGATTCGAGTAGTGGCGTTTTGTGTTTGGCCATGGGAAGTTCTAATGGAATGTCTATTTTCGGAAATGTTCAGCAGCAGAATTTCAATATTCTTCATGATCTTGAGAAAGAAACGGTCTCCTTTATTCCCACTGAATGTGGAAAATTGTAGATTTTTAATTGTTTTCTTCTTTTATTATTAATAAACTTTTATGCTTTGTGACAATCTCTAGTGCCTCGATTCTTTTTTACTATTTCTCCGAGAAATTCGTGTTTCCTATGTTGTTGGTATGAAAAGAGGAAAAAATTGGAAGTAATCTTTTTTAAAATCATTTTAATTTGCGTACTGATAAATCAATTATTTGAACCAAGCCTAAAATGAAGTAATCTTACACTGTTTTTCATGTGTTCTCTGGATATAGTATTGTATACCAAAATAATATTATAGTCAATTTTTGCATATTATGATCTAAATCATTACTTGTTTGCCGTAGATTTGAGAATCTTATTTAAATGTATATTACAATTCACGTAAAAGAGTGATAATTGGTTTTGGAATTAGGTCTAGTTACATCATGAACAACTCGGAAATCGACATTGATATGAAGTATAATAATTGTAATTATGATAATTATTAAACTTGAAAGTAAAGAAAAGGGTTCGCTCAACTTCCAAGCAACTCGTGAGATATCGATAGGAAGAGATGAAATGCATGCGTCATGCAATTTTTATTCAATTTGGAAATTTAAACACGTCGCTTAACAAACATAATTAAGCCCTACCCATCTTTTTTTGTTTTTTGAGAAAAGTGCCCTACCTATCTTACCTACATTTATTTGATATATCAAAATGTTTCAAAACCATGAAACTAAATTGATCGTGAACAACATAATACAGATTTCCTAAATTTTAAACTATATATATG